CAGTTTACAACTCTACACTGGAATGGAGGATCCGATTGAACACCTTAATCTCTTTGAGTCCACCATGGCATACTGGATGCATACCGATGAAGAGCGATGTCTCATCTTCCCCTCCACCCTCTCTGGTGGAGCTCTAAACTAGTATTGTCGTCTTCCACCTGAGACAGTAGACTCATTTGAGCAATTGAGGAAACTGTTTGTCTTTTAACACATTTTCCAGACCGATCACTTGCACTTTGCAGATGACTTGTACACTATTCGCCAGAAGTCGGACGAGTCACTGCGAAAGTATACTGGTCGTTTTAGCCATGAGTATTCTCGCTGCATTGAGGCAGATGATAAGACCGCCTTAAGGTCTTCACGGCCGGCCTACGTGACTGTTTCTTCAAGTACATGATCAATGCCAATACTTGGAAGATGTACTCTGAAGTGATGGCACATGCTTACAACCATGCCTCCGCCGAGGCAAGGACATATCAAGGGAAACCCCTACAGCCACCCCTTATCAGCAAGTGGGGAATAAGAGCCAGATCCAACCAAATGAGAAGACCTCAACCTTCCAAACGGCAGCGACGTCCCTCCTTGCCTTACTTAATGCTTTGACAAGACAACAGACATACCAATCTCAGGGCAAGAGGAAAGATTTCCATCCTCACCAATCCCATTTTAATAAGAAGAGTAAGGGGTAATATTGCGATAACCAAGGGTATTGTCATGATAATGCCCGCCCCCAGGCAGTTAACGCAATGGGCCAAACACGTGTCAAGACAGGCCTTACCTCGAGGTATAAGATGTACACACCTTTGAACGCCACATGCGCATCCATTTACTCCAGTATAGCTCACCTGATACTAAAGCCAAAGCTGAGGCAGCCGGATTACAAGTCCATGAAGAACACGGGTGTGTTTTGCTGCTACCACGAGTATAATGGCCATGATGGCGAGAAATGTATCACCCTCTGGGATCATATTGAAGCTTTAGTACGTGAAGGAAAAATTGATCAATTCCTCATTCGCCCTTCAAGGGATAACCGTAACCAACGCCAAGTGAACGTGATATATTCCATAAGCGGCGGCACATCCGTATTTGAATCTTCCAACAGGGCCATGAAAAACAGTGAACGAACTTTGAGGCCTGGCCACTAAGTGTTTCATGTAGAAGACATCAGGGAAGGCAAGTATCAAAAGTCTAACTGAGATCTAATATGTTTCTACCCTGAGGAAGAAAGAGGTATCACCTACCTTCACAATGACCCACTGATCATGGAGGCTCACATAGCCAACTTTAATGTACGATGAATCCTGGTAGACACGGGGGCTTTGGTCAATATCATGTTTGTTGAAGCTTTCAGAGCACTTAATGTAGCTGAACACTTGCTCGATCGCTCAGTTTCTCCTCTGATAAGCTTTTCCGGTGATGTCGTGCAACCCTTAGGGGGTACATTTATCCTTCACCATCGGTACATGCCCTTACACAGCCACCATCACCACTAACTTCCTAGTGGTTGACTACCCAATGACATACAATGTCATATTTGGGCGCATGGTCACCAATGATCTCAAGGCCGTGGTATCCACACATATATTGTTGATGAAATTTCTAACCCCCTATGGCAACGGTTACATCAGATGAGATCAACTTAGTGCACGATCATGTTACAATTCAATGTTCGCTGAACAGATTGGGAAGATCATGCAATTCGGCCTAAAGAATGCAAGGGCGACTTATTAGAGGTTAGTCAATTCAATGTTCACTGAATAGATTGGGAAGAGCATGAAAGTTTATATTGATGATATGTTAGTCAAAAGCAAACATGTTGACCAACACATCACGAACTTGTCTGAAACCTTCTCCATCCTGAAGAAGTATCAAATGAGGTTGAACCCCAACAAATGCACTTTCAGCGTAGGCTTTGGAAAATTTTTGGGCTTCATGATTAGCCAACAGGCATTGAAGCTAACCCTGAGAACATCAAAGTAATCATTGACATGAAAGAACCAGTAACTTCAAAAGACATCCAGAACCTTACTGGTAAGATGGCAACCTTGACCAGGTTCATCTCTAAAGCCACAGACAAATGCGCTCATTTTTTCAAAGCACTTAAGGGAAGTAAGAAGTACATTATGTGGACTGATGAATGTGCCAAAGCATTTAAAAACCTCAAGGAGTACATGAAAAAAGCCTCTCTGCTCTCCAAACCTGAAGTTAGTGACACCCTAATTGTCTATCTGTTTATCTCGGCTTCAGCAGTTAGTTCCATCCTCATTCGAAGGGATGGTAGTATCGAATGGCCTATCTACTACGCTAGCAAGGCTCTACAAGATGTAGTGACACGATACTCCAACATTGAGAAATTAGCTTTAGCATTAGTCATGTCTACTCGGAAACTTCGCCTCTACTTCCAAGCACACTCCATCATCGTGCTTACCAATCACCCCCTTCGACAAATACTTCAGAGTCCTGACACTTCGGGGTGAATGATCAAATAGGCGATAACACTGGGTAAGTTTGACATCTCTTACCGCCCAAAGCCAGCTGAGAAGGGCCAAGAAGTTGCAGATTTTATCGTCGAATTCACTTATCCTGTTGACGTTTCTCCTACACCTGAGGCATTGGCTTCATTACCCCTAGAAGCTCAGAAGGTAGAACCAACACTACCAGTATGGACTCTATATGTCGATGGCTCATCCAACCAACAGGGTTGTGGAGCAGGACTAGTCATGATTACCCCTGACAAAGTGGCAATGGAGTATGCTCTTCACTTCAAATTCAAGGCGTCAGACAATGAGGTCGAATATGAGGCCTTTTTAGTAGGCTTACGTTTGGCCAAACACCTTGGAGTTAAACAAATTAACATCTTCAATTTGTCGATGACTCATCTAACCAATAGGGCTGTGGAGCAGGACTAGTCTTGACTACCCCTACAAAGTGGCAATGAAGTATGCTCTTCGCTTCAAATTCAAGGCGTCAAACAATGAGGCCGAATATGAGGCCCTTTTAGCAAGCTTACGTTTGGCCAAACACCTTGGAGTTAAACAAATTGATATCTTCAATTTGTCGATGGCTCATCCAACCAATAGGGCTATGGAGAAGGACTAGTCCTGACTACCCCTGATAAAGTAGCAATGAAGTATGCTCTTCACTTCAAATTCAAGGCGTCAAACAATGAGGCCGAATATGAGGCCCTTTTAGCAGGCTTACGTTTGGCCAAACACCTTGGAGTTAAACAAATTGATATCTTTAGTGACTCCCAATTGGTGGTTAACCAGGTCACGAACAACTTTGACGCTAAGGATAACTCTATGGCAGCGTATCTTACGCAAACGCAGCATTTGCTCAAATACTTCCACTACTAGATCACCCAAGTCCCTCGAGCGGTAAACAGTCATGCAGATACTTTGGCTCGCCTCGCCTCAGCAGTGGAAGACAAGATTGGGAGAAAAATTCATGTCGAATTGTTGGCAGCACAAAGCACCATGGTTGCAGAAGTGTGCAACTTACAATAGGGGGACAGTTGGATCACCCTGATTATAAATTCCTTGCTCATGGCACACTCCCAAATGATAAAGTCCAAGCTAAGCAGATTCAATACAAGTCTACCCGCTACCTGATCATTAATGACCAACTCTACAAGCAAGTTTTTAACCTACCATACTTACGGTGCCTTATACCTGCAGAAGCAGAAATTGTCCTTCGGGAAATACATGAAGGAGTCTGCGGAGATCATGCTGGATCTCGATCCCTAGCACACAAGGCTTTTCGCCAAGGATATTACTAGCCAACACTCCACCAAGATGCCATTAAAATATCCCGTTCATATGATAAGTGTCAAAGCTACGCAACTATTCATCATTCCCCTTCTGAGCCTTTTACTCTTTTGATCAGCCTTTGGCCCTTTGTTCAATGGGGACTTGATTTGATCGGGCCAATGCCTCCAGGGAAGGGCAAGGTCCGTTATGCAATCGTTGCAGTTGACTACTTCACAAAGTGGGTCGAAGTAGAACCCTTGTCAACCATTATCGAGGCAAAAATGGAAAACTTCGTATGGAAGAACATCCTTTGCAGATTCGGCATTCCCAATGCGATAGTCGCTGACAATGGGCGACAGTTCGACAACAAGAAGTTCAGGATGTTCTACTCTAATTTCAACATCAACTTATGTTTCGCCTCTTAAGCTCATCCCTAGTCTAATGGACAAGTTGAGGCCATCAACAAAATAATCAAGTGCACTTTGAAAACCAGCTTAGATAATGCTAAAGGCTGTTGGCCAGAATTTGTACCCCAAGTTCTTTGGTCATACTGCACTTCATATCGGACTTCAATAGGAAAAACTCCATTCTCACTTGCCTTTGGTACAGAGGCCGTTGTCCCAGTTGAGCTTGAGTAAGCAACGCTCCGAGTCTAGAACTACAAGCAAAGTGAAAATGAAAAACAACTTACCCTTAACTTGGATCTAGTTAAGGAACACAGAAACCAGGCTCACTTGAGGAATGTCGCCTACAAGCAGCGCATCTCCAACTATTACGACTCAAGGGTTAAACCTTGCTTTTTCAAAGTAAGGGACTGGGTATTGAAGAAAAGACTACTCTGCGATAGAGTCCCGAGCGAAGACATGCTCGGCCTAAATAGGGATGTATCGTTTGAAGTTATTGGCATCAGTCGCCCTAGCTCCTACAAGCTTAGAAGCTCCGATGACAAGACCCTTGGCCATCCATGGAACGCTGATCACTTGAAGTACTATTACAAGTAGACTCACACTGTACAAGTGTTGAGCTACGGCCATTCGGCATCCTATGTAATGAAGGCCATTTGGCATCAATTAAAAAAAAAAGTGATTTAGACACCTTGGTCCTAACTCCTTTACATCCCTATCACTGAAACGCTCAGGTTTGAAGCTTCAACATGCTTGCTTCCAACATGAAATAAAGTCTAAGTATATGTCAACAAGACTATACAAATAAACGAACAGCTCCACAATATATTCGTTTAATCATACTCAAGTCATGGCTTATATCCAAACGAGGGATCTATTCAAACATAGCCAAATATTTATCAATGATAGTGCAAACACTTGGCAATTAACATCGGATTATACAGGGCAAAGTCATAAGCATCCATAAACAAAAAACTCTCGGGCTTATAACATGGCACATGCCATACAAACAACGAACTAGTAGTATATCCAAAGTACGTGGCACATGCCACACAAACAACAAACTAGTACATTCAGAGTACATACAGAAAAAGAGGGCACTATGAGTCATCCTTATCTAAGCCAAACCCCTGACAATATCACTTTGTGTTTCAACCCCATCGTCATCACCACCATCTTCGGCACCTCCAGAACCATCTTCACTCTCCCGGGACTACTCTCCCGGTACTACTTTCCTGGGACTGCTCACCGACACTAGCCTCATTATGAGAGTCATTCTCACCACTAGGATCAACTGCAAAGATGAAGACTTCACCTCTTTGTCGATATTCATCCATCTCGTCACGGTACTTTCGGATAATGCTTCCATTATCATAACGCTCAGGGACGGCCATCTATTTCCTTTTTCTCAAAATTAGCCGCCCGGATGCGGTGAGGTCTAAAGGCATCATGAAAGGCTTGGGAACCTAAGAACTCCTACACAGCAGCGTTCTTCTCAGTTGGGATACTTCTCTTCAGCCCAGCAACCTCAACCAAGGCACTATCCAACTCCCTTTTAACCTTGGAAACTTCTATGATAGTTATCTCAAACTGTTTCTCAATCGCCTCCAATTGTTTCTTGAGCCTTACGTTCTCACCATTCCGCCTCTTCAAACTCTCAAAGTTTTGATCCTTGAGGCGGATGGCCTTAGCCAAAGTTTGGCTCGTTTTTTTGGCGTCATTCACAAGCTACTTATTCTCTTTAAACTTTGCCTTGTACTGCTTGACCTCTTATAGTCTGTCGTCATACTCGGTCATGATCTACATGACAAGATGATGGTCATTACTAGGAAAAATAGGGGAGAAAGTAAAGAAATGTCAGAATAACACTTACATAAGAAGATAGCCTCATCATTCGATCACGATCTGATTCGTTCTCATCTAGCGGCTCGCCAAGTTCGTCAACAATGGATCGGCGTCTTGCCAGACAATTATTGACATACCTAAAACTACTTGGTTGCATGGCAACCTTCAAGCCATTCCAATGGATGCTGCCAATCTCTTCCTTATACTTCCTCTTACGGCTGAAGCTAGGGTCACCTTCTTGGTCAGTGAACTTCATGGTTGGAGGAAATACAAGATTGATGGTAGGAAGAGGAGGCAACAATCATCTTTTTTCCCCTGCAACTATGGCAGCAGCACACCTGATGGCCTCAGCTTCAACCTTTTTTGAGGTAGTAATCTTAAGGACATCCTCTTGCGACTTAGGTCTAGGGGCTGGCCTCAACCGATGTTTATGAGCTCCCTTGTGAAACAAAATGTCGTCTACAAGAACTAACATAAGTGCTTTCCCTTTCTTGTTGCTAGTCCCTCTTTCTTGCTTACCTTCTCCACTGAACAAGGAAAATCAAAGTAAAGAATACAACTTTAAAAAAAAAAAAAAAAACAAAAAAGAAAGGGCAAATGACAAGTGAATGATACAACTTACTCGCTTGTCTTTGGCACTCAAAAACTAGGGGCTAGAAACCGTACTTTCCAAATAAGGGTCGTAGCTTGCCTCAACACCTTCTTTACATCAGCTAGCTCCTGTCCGGACAGTTTGATGGTACCTTGTGTCATTGCATGAAGAAAAATGTTAGAAGCAAGAAGAAATCACAACAAATAGCAAACAATGTGAACAATGGATACATTACAACCTACAGTTTGGAAGTGGGTAGGGACATGTCGCTCAGGTGTGACACTTCAGGTGGAAGATGACAATAACAGTTTAGAGCTCTACCAGAGAGGGTGGAGGGGAAAAGAAGACATCGCTCTTCATCGATATGCATCCGATATGCCATGGTGGACTCAAAGAGATTAAGGTTTTCAATCGGATCCTTTCTTCCAATGTAGAGTTGTAAGTCGAGTTTTTGTTTTGTCTTCACTTGAAGGGGAGTGTTGAGGATCCTTCTTGTAAGCGAGCCAGGCCTGGGTTAGTTCAAGTTAGGTATCTCGACCTGACGTTTAGCCTTCAACTTGTTTACTTCCTCAAGAAGCTGAAGGACAAGGTGTTGATGCAGAAAATCAGCGAAGACTTTGGTACAACAGAAAATGTTAAGTTTGTGACATTCGCTAGATTGCTTTGGTCACCAGTGTGGATAAGTATGTAAAGAGATAGAAATAGGGAAGTAAGCACAAGATGTACGTGGTTCACCCAGATTGGCTACATCCACGGAGTAGAGGAGTTCTCATTAATTGTGAAGGGTTTACACAAATACATAGGTTCAAGCTTTCCTTTATTGAGTTCTAGTGAATAGTTTAGTATAAGTAACATTAGGGATTATTGTGGGAGAATGATCCCCTTTTATAGAAGAGAGTTTCTAGCTTTGTTCTGACATTGACAGGTGTTGTGTTGTGATTGGCTTCTGATATCGACACGTGTCGCGTTATGATTGGCCTCCTAGTTTGAGGAAAACTCTTGTAGGTCTTTAATGATATACTGTTGACCGATGATCAGTAGTTTCGGGATTGGTCAAGTATGGTACAAACATTACTCCCTTAAGTTCCCGAGTGAATGAAACTTCTCGGTTGGGGACTTGCAAGATCCAAGCCATTGAGTAATCACGAAACTTCTAAGTACCGAAGCATGATAACATTTTCATTTACCCCTGCCCCATATGTAGATGTGACCTCTTCTCTGGAAGTACTTTTCCTCTATCCAGGAATGGTAAATTTAGCTGATGTTGATGACAAGGTAATGTATCATTTTCATTTGAAGCTTACTTGTAGATTCGGGCTTGGTCAAGTGCGATACAAACCCTATAGTAGGAGTCCCCCAAGTCTCCGAGCGAGGAGATTTGCTGAAAGAGGTAACATACAAGGTAAGCAATCAAAGTTCTAAGCAATCAGTCTTAGATCAGAAGTTTTATTTCGGGTTCTGGCTGATTGTTTGCAGACTACAACAAGGACAAAGAAAAAGACATGGAGAAGAGATGATATGAGATATTTTTGCTTTTGAAGAAGTAACGGATGAATCAGCACATGTTGTTGTACTTGTTGACTTTCCACAGACTTATTCTTGAACTAGGCTGGAAGGTTTTCCGGTTTCCTCCAAATGAGCGAGATGGCTCAAGAATTTAAGGGTCAAAACAAGTCTGTCAAATCTAGAGTACGTTCGATCCTGATGATATGAGATACTTCTGTTGTTAACAAAGTGGTGGATGTGGTATGGCAAGGCCTTGTTCTTCGGCGACGGTGCTACCAAAAGGCTGTTGAAGCTTCTCGATCTTTTAAATTAGAGCAACGATGCTGAGCTTGGATTTGACTTAGACTTCTCTGTCTGGATTGTGCGGTTCTATAAGAAGGACGTCATGCTGTAGTGATCTGTTCCAGCTCATCATTGAACCTTCTGCTTCAATTTTTTGTATAGCAGAAGTGGTGTACAACCTTTGCATTTAAATGGTCCTTCATAGCACTACTTCTCAGCGACTCATCCATGTTTGGCGGTTTCAGTGTAAAGAGCCAATATCGTACTAATTATTCTGAGGTATTTGCCAAAGGAATTCGTGACCTTGACAACAATTGAGGATGAGTACTCGAGAGCAATGCTAGGCAAGCAATCATGCAAAGGTTCTGGGCAATCAGTTCCAAATTGAAAGTTTGATTTCAGGTTCCGACTGATTGCTTCATTTTTCATTGTCTTGCATGTAAAAGCAAGAGCAAAGGAAAAGACAGAGAAAAAGCATGATATGGGATACTCTTGTTTTTTACCTTGATGATATGAGATACTCTTATTCTGGCGTGACTTGTTTGTAGAAGTATTATCTCGGGTGGGGGAGGAAGGAAGTTGAGTATTTTGAGAGACTTCGTTGGGAGTGCCTTCTCGAATGTAAGAGTTGAGCATTTTTTTTTTTGGTAAGTCTGCTTGGCTGTGGAAGATGGAGGTCGACATATATAGGAATTATCCCAACAACTAGTAGTAATACTGTTCCTTTACCCTTTGCGGTCAGAGCAATGTAGTGGTCGCTGCAAGATTCACGTATTTTAACTTTGTCAGAGCACTTTGAAAAAGTGATCCGTGGTATCTAGAAAACTGATGTTGCGTGTGAAGATTATAGACAAATTTTATCCAAGGAACTTTGGCTCTCGAAGTTCGGAGAGCGGTGCCTCTTCGATTTTCAGAACAAACAATCTTGTTGGGGATCTAGTTTTTAAGATTCGGAGAGCGGTGCCTCTTCAATTTTTGAGCAAGCAATCTTATTGGGGATCTGGTTCTCGAGATTCGGAGATTGGTGTCTCTTCGATTTCTGAGCAAGCAGTCTTATTGGGAGTGTTTTCTTGGATGTGATGAAAGATTGGGCATTTTTGCAAGTCTGCTTTGCCACGGAGCACGAAGGTTGACACACATAAGAATTTTTCAGTTATCAAGTAGTGGTGCTGTTCCTTTACCCTTGTGGGTAATAGTAGGATAGTTGGACCTTCAAAATGTATGTGTCTTAACTTTGTCAGAGTTCTTTGGCAAAGTTATCCTTGGTATCCGATGAACTGATGTCGCGTGTGAAGATTGCTAATAAATTTTACTCAGGAAAATCTGCTTCTCAAAATTCGGAGAATGGTGCCTTTTCGATTTTTGAACAAACGGCCCTGTTGCCCTTTCTTTTATAGGGGCACCAATTGTGTTCAAGAAGTACGTTCAGAGAGTTACCGCTTGTAGGAATTCCACCCTTATTTTCATACTTCTGAGATTTACTGTAACTCATTTTTTCTTTATCATTTCTGAAAATGTCTGACCCGTTCAACCGTCGTTTGGACTTGAATGCTGTGGAAGAGGTAACCATGTCTTCTCAAGATAACATATAACGCACATCCTTCTTATCTCCTACTGGTCCCTTTACCATTGGGGACTCTGTGATGAAGAATGACATGACCGTTTCAGGTCAAGAATCTTCTCACTCCCAAAGACAACAGACTACTTTCCAAACAGTCCGATGAGTTGGCTGTTAAGGATTCTCTGGCTCTCAGTATTCAGTGTGTAAGTTCTGTGTCTAATATGGCTCAACGCCTATTTGCTTGAACCTGCCAAGTTGAATCGTTGGCGGCTGAAGTGATAAGTCTCAAACAGGAGATCAGAGGGCTTAAGCACGAGAATAAATAGTTGCACATGCTCGCACATATCTATGCTACAAACATAAAGAGAAAGCTTGACCAGTTACAGAAATCCGAGGGTCATATTTTAAGTGATCATCAGAGGTTTGTGAGTTTGTTCGAAAGACATTTATTGCCTTCATCCTCTAGGGTTGTATCACGTACTGAAGCTCCAAATGATCAACCTCTGGTGCCTCATCTTTTTGGGGTTCTGCCCAGTACTGAGGCTCCAAATGATCACCCTCCGGTGCCTCCTATTTCTGGAGCTTTGCCGAGTGTTGAGACTTCTTCTGAGCAATTTTTGTGAAGGCCAACTCCTGTTTGTTTGTTTTGATTCATGTGTATGCACGTATTTGTAATTTATCAAAAATATCAATAAATAAGCTTTACTTCATTCAACGTGTTGTGTTAAACACACTAAGGCATCCTTCACCAAGTTCTTTGAATTTTTTCTTTTGTTGGAGTTTGCATGTTGAAACTTCGTGAGTGGATCCTATAGGTTGAAATAGTGCTCCATTAATTTCCCGAGTGAGAAAAACTTCTTGGTTGGGGACTTGAAAAATTCAAGTCACTGAGTAGTCGCGAAACTTTCGAGTACCGAAGTGTAGTACTATATGGTAATAGTCCCCCAAGTCTCCGGTCGAGGGAGTTGACGAAGAAAGTGTCTTGCTAGTAGTCAAGTTTCCAAATTAATAAAACCTCACCCCTTTCATATATATATATATATATATATATATATGTATTTTGTGAAGGTTGTTGGGCCTAAGGAAAAAGAAAAGCCTAAGCCCTTTACACCTTTTTTTTTTTTTTTTTTTTTGAAATTGGTAACCAGGCCCGAAGTAGAAGGCCCAGTCTTTGACTACGTTTTTCTGTGCCCTGATTGTACAGCAGGTCACGTGCTTCCTCCTCAGCACAATCTTCTCTGCTTAGGTCCCATTGTTCTCCTCTGTAGCTTTTCAATATAACACCATCCTCTGTAGCTCAAATCGCAAAGCCATCTTCATATAAGTTGTTCCTTAACTTGTGAACTACAACATATCCAAATTTGAGATCCATCGGAGCAGTATAAATCCAGAAATTCAGGTATGATGAGTGACTGTGCATCATTTGTCTTTCAACCCGTCAGACCTGTTATGATTTCTTCTTGCTTCTAACATTTTTCTTCATGCAGTGACACGAGGTACCATCAAACTGTCCGGACGGGAGCTAGCTGATGTAAAGAAGGTGTTAAGGGTGCCCAAAGAGGATATACACTTGGGCAAGCTACGACCCTTATTTGGAAAGTATGGTTTCCAGCCCTTAGATTCCGAGTGCCAAAGACGAGCGAGCAAGTTGTATCCTTCACTTGTCATTTGCCCCTCCCTTGATTTTCCTTACTTTGATTTTCCTTGTTTAGTAGAGAAGTGAGCAAGAAAGGGGGACTAGCACCAAGAAAGGAAAAACACCCATGTTAGTTCCCGTAGACGACATTTTGTTTCACAAGGGA